TTTTTTTTTTTTTTTTTTTTTTTTTTTTTTTTTTTTTTTTTTTTTGGATCTCCTTAGTATTGAAAAGTTTGAAAATTCCATCCTTACAACTGATACGGATTTTTCACTAGAAACTTGCTGGACACTTTGGTTAAGAATGGACATGTTTGTCTTCACATGTTACTCCCTTTATTCCCTCAAGAGCTTTGGAGCAGCAGCCAGTGGTATTTATTTAAGCCAAGGTTTATCAAGTCAGGCTTTGATTATGAACACAACCACGGGGCACTTTTCCTTCATAAATTGTAAACAATATCTCTGTCAAATATCTATTTCTTAATAATTCTTTTTTCACGAAGAAGGCAAAACTACAAGTGTCTCACCTGCACAAGGATCCTCAGATATAAGCTCAGTATCCTGGAGTTTTTCTCGCCCCAGCCAAAAAGTTTTCTCACTTTTGGATCTCCCTTAACTTAATAACATGATCTTTCTAGTCAAATTTGTCTTCCTCGAGGATATTTTGCTTCTTTTCAGGCCACTAAAAGCTCTTTTTCTTTCTTGGACTGAATGATTGCAACTGTAAAATAGATCCCAGTGCTTCCTTTGGAGCTTATATATATCTGGCATGTAAACTATGCCAAAAGTGATGGCTTTTGGGGGCTTTGGTGAAGGATTCTGATTGTGATATAAAGAGGAAGGAATATAAGTAAAACAAACATTTATGACTTTGCGATTTGCATACCACGTTTCGCTCGGCCGTGATTTAAACCAGCACATAAAGCCCCCAAATGGATCTTGGAACAGCAAAGTTGAGCTGAGCTGCAGCAATTCCATAAGCGTTGTTAGGATATATTAGAACAAAAGGACTTGATGTTCGCTCTTGTGGGGTTTTATTTCCTTCAAATTTATTCACTTCTTGGTGCTAAGAAACATAATTTGATGTCACTGACTGTTGTGGGGTATTTTTCGCGTGAACTCTGACGGGCTGAGTCATCCATATCCATCTCCAAAGGGTTACAGGGACAACTCAGTGCTTTGAATTAAGTTTGCAGCGTTTATTTAGTCGCTTTTATTGCGTTTGGAAGTCTCTCCTGCTAAATATATTCACTTGGAGCCAGAACCCACACTTGCAGGTCTCCATGTAACCAACCTTTTGGGACAAAATCGAGTTCCTGAAAGCTTAAGCCTCAAAATATCACAGCACGATTATGATTTGAGCAGGGAAAGGAAATTGGAAGGAGCAACTGAAGATATTTTACTCTCATGAATTAGTACACAAATACAGATTTATAGCCTGCATATGTGTTTTGTTTTTACTGATGGCTGTAACTAAGGACACCTGTAAGTCAAGGGAAAAGGGAGACAATGAAAACTAACGGGAGGAAAAATGTAATAATATGCAGCATTTCAGAGCTGATTTGGAGGCTGTTATGTGAACCTTAAAAACCTGTTTTTCTTCTCCTGGAAAACCTGTAGCATTTAGCTGGTGTGCCTTTGTGTAAAGTATGAAATATAATGATTTTTTAAAAGATTCTTTCAGCGTTTCCAAAGGAAATGTTGAGCTAAGTGTAGAATTTGTGGGATCAGTTAGCTTATAAATAATGATCCTTTATGCTGGCATTGGGAAATCCATGTTCCCACAGCTAGTTCAATAAAGCAATTAATATCAATGAATGCTGAAGAAAGCAAATCTCCATTCACTTTAGTCTGGATTAGTTAGCATAAGGAAAATCCCATCCCTCTCCTGGAGTATTTAACCTTCTCCTAGGAAGATCTGCTAATGAAAGGTAAATAAAATGCTCTGCTTGACATGTGTTTGCCATTCCTCCCCGTTCCTGGTGTCACACACTTTCCCTCTAACATTTTTTTTTGTTGTTTTTCCTCTGGAAATCTTCACTGCGGTTATTTCGTTTCACGGATCCCCCTGTGCCAAACCTGCCTTGTTGTTAT